GTTCTCTGTGTTCGCCCTGTTAGACATGTCCTGATAAATCATGGAGTTGGCCTGTTGCTGCTTCTCTTCCACAGCTGTCCTTTTCTCTCCGGAGTCCCAGTCTAATAACCGACACACTAACGCCTTCAACTAGCCCTTTATTTTCAGCTGAACTGACATCTCTGCCAAAGCGTGTTAAAGAGATTTTGCTGCCCTGACGAATCCTTCATCTTTAGAGGGTGACAGGAGCTCTTATTAAAAGGTTTTTGATTTTAGCTATGTAAGGTCCAATGTCTTCAAGTCTTGTATGATTTTCTTAAAATAACACTTGGTTCCATGACCTCAGATATAACTTTATTTATTTCTACCCAGCCTCCTTTCTTTAATCCAGTGATATCCGGTCTAGGCCGGGGCTCTTAGATTCCTGACCTCATGGTTCTTTTTCTACCAAAAAAAAATAATTGGAAGGTTTTATTCATTTCCATAATGTTTCATTATGTCAAGCATAAAACCACAATGAAGAGAAGACGCTCCATTGGCCATAGCAGACAATATAGCCGCCATCTTGGGGAGGTCGTCCACCCTGCTTGGCTAAACAGCAGAAGACACCTCAGCTCTGTGCAGCTTGTTGTTTAAATCAACCAGGTATGAGAGATAACTTTTAAGAAGTAAAATGATCATCTTAATCTTTGCATTTTAGAATATTAATGTTTGGAAATGGAGCAACCATGACCCCTGCATTGGATGCACCATGGACAGATAGCTGAAGGGGCTCGCCGCTATAAAACCAGACCTTGTTGCACACCTCAAAGGATCAAATGTAAAGAGAATCAGTTCCTGAAGCTGTTGGATTTTAGCAGATGTAAATCGATCTAATGGTTAATGCTATATTACAGTACGTCATCTGCATAACGTTGCTTCAGAAAGTTTCGGGTGAATGAATTTCACAGACTGTCCTCTATCAACACAGAGCAGATGAGATATCCGAGCTGTAAAGAGGAACTTTCTGGGTCGATGTCAGCCATCATGTTGGGGGGCGTGGCCTGAGGCCCATAAGCCATCATCAGCGTGAGAGGCTTTAACCAGCTAGGGGGGATCAGAGAGCAGCAGCTCAGGTAGCTGAGGACAGGAACCAGGTGATCCGAGCTGGAGAACCAGAACCAGAACCGTTCCCTCCAACATCAGCAGGATGGTTTTCCTTGGAGGAGTTAGAGCAGCAGGCTGTCGGTTATGTTGCTGTGGGCTCCCTGATTAATGAGGCTGAACAGAACTCCTGCTGGGATGTTGGTTCTGCTGTAATCTGTCATGTAAACCCGGTGGGGTTAACCATGGCCCACTTATCCAGGTAGCAGATGTGTTCTCCTGCTTCCTGCTGGTTCCAGGTCAGCTGTGGCTCTTAAAGCTCTGCTTTATGGACCGCTGTGGTTTTCACTCAGCCGGGACAAAGCGGTGTGTCAGGATGAGCACAGGCCTCCCACAGGTCATGCATGTTAGCTTAGCTGTGCCCTGATCACTGCGTTAACACCTGGTAAAACATTACTGAGTCTTAGTACAGCTGAGTTCCCCTCAGCGGCTCTACGGGGGGGGGGGGTCTCTAAAGCTGCAGGATTGGATCCGGTTGGCTGCATTTCATTGGATGAACTGGCTGGTTCATCATCTATGAGGTCACCGTTGTTATTAATTGGTTCTTTTTCAATTAGGTCTGTTGAATAGTTGTAGAACTGAGCTGAATAGATGCGTCTTTAGGTCTTTCGAATCTAAAAGTTAAGATTAGTTTTCATAGGTGGGTTTTCTCACCTGTTTGATGAACCGTTTTATTCCTTTCTCTTCTGAATAGAAAAGAATCAAAGGGAGTTTCGACTCTTCAATCCCATTTAGATGATGGTACAATAACAAAGCTCTGTTTTACTGGAGCAGGATGGGTCAGAATGGGATCCAGTAGAACCAGGAACCTTCAGGAGTTTCCTGTTAATAGAAAGTCTGGCAGTTATTTCTATTCACTTGAGTTTATTTCTATAGCACCAATTCACAACATGTCATCTCAAGGCACTTTACAATCCTACCAAATCTGTTGGAGTGAAACCTGTAGATTGAGAGTGAAGTGCTCTATTAGTAACATGAGGAACAATCAGATCTCTGATATCAGATGGAGCTTGGCCATTTAAGGCTTTATATGTGAGAAGGAGGATTTTATATGATCTCTCTTTTAATTAGTTCTGACATCAGAGGTTCTTTAGAGAGTTTTAGAAAACATCCAACATTATAAAGACTGAAAAAACCCAGCTGTCGGGTCATGGAGGTGGTTCTGGTCCAGTCTACAGCAGGATCAGGTTCTAGAACAGTCTCCAAGCTTTAAATATCTCCCACAGCTGACAGGATGAGGAGTAGAGTATCGATAAGAGGAGGCTCTGGAGGACCTACAGATATCTTCAAGATCAAAACGTCTAAACTCTTTGGCCACTGGAGCTGTTTTTAAAGACCTGCAGCTAGAAATGAACCAGAGGTGGTTCTACAGAGTATGAACCCAGAGAGCTGAGATCCTGCATCATTAGAATGAGGCGTCTGCAGCGCCTGCAGGCTGCTGAGGAGCTCCTGCATCATTAGAATGAGATGTCTGCAGCGCCTGCAGACTGCTGAGGAGCTCCTGCATCATTAGAATGAGATGTCTGCAGCGCCTGCAGACTGCTGAGGAGCTTCTGCATCATTAGAATGAGATGTCTGCAGCGCCTGCAGACTGCTGAGGAGCTGCTGCATCATTAGAATGAGATGTCTGCAGCGCCTGCAGACTGCTGAGGAGCTCCTGCATCATTAGAATGAAGCGTCTTCATCGCCTGCTGGCTGCTGAGGAGCTCCTGCATCATTAGAATGAGATGTCTGCAGCGCCTGCAGACTGCTGAGGAGCTTCTGCATCATTAGAATGAGATGTCTGCAGCGCCTGCAGACTGCTGAGGAGCTGCTGCATCATTAGAATGAGATGTCTGCAGCGCCTGCAGACTGCTGAGGAGCTGCTGCATCATTAGAATGAGATGTCTGCAGCGCCTGCAGACTGCTGAGGAGCTGCTGCATCATTAGAATGAGATGTCTGCAGCGCCTGCAGACTGCTGAGGAGCTCCTGCATCATTAGAATGAGGCGTCTGCAGAGCCTGCTGGCTGCTGAAGAGCTCCTGCATCATTAGAATGAGATGTCTGCAGCGCCTGCAGACTGCTGAGGAGCTCCTGCATCATTAGAATGAGATGTCTGCAGCGCCTGCAGACTGCTGAGGAGCTTCTGCATCATTAGAATGAGATGTCTGCAGCGCCTGCAGACTGCTGAGGAGCTGCTGCATCATTAGAATGAGATGTCTGCAGCGCCTGCAGACTGCTGAGGAGCTCCTGCATCATTAGAATGAGGCGTCTGCAGAGCCTGCTGGCTGCTGAAGAGCTCCTGCATCATTAGAATGAGATGTCTGCAGCGCCTGCAGACTGCTGAGGAGCTGCTGCATCATTAGAATGAGATGTCTGCAGCGCCTGCAGACTGCTGAGGAGCTCCTGCATCATTAGAACAAGGTGAGGCGTCTGCAGCGCCTGCAGACTGCTGAGGAGCTCCTGCATCATTAGAATGAGGCGTCTGCAGAGCCTGCTGGCTGCTGAAGAGCTCCTGCATCATTAGAACAAGGTGAGGTGTCTGCAGCGCCTGCTGGCTGCTGAAGAGCTCCTGCATCATTAGAACAAGGCGTCTGCAGCGCCTGCTGGCTGCTGAAGAGCTCCTGCATCATTAGAACAAGGCGTCTGCAGCTCCTGCTGCCTGCTGAGGAGCTCCTGCATCATTAGAATGAGATGTCTACAGCGCCTGCAGACTGCTGAGGAGCTCCTGCATCATTAGAACAAGGCGTCTGCAGCTCCTGCTGCCTGCTGAGGAGCTGCTGCATCATTAGAATGAGATGTCTGCAGCGCCTGCAGACTGCTGAGGAGCTGCTGCATCATTAGAATGAGATGTCTGCAGCGCCTGCAGACTGCTGAGGAGCTGCTGCATCATTAGAATGAGATGTCTGCAGCGCCTGCAGACTGCTGAGGAGCTCCTGCATCATTAGAATGAGATGTCTGCAGCGCCTGCAGACTGCTGAGGAGCTCCTGCATCATTAGAATGAGATGTCTGCAGCGCCTGCAGACTGCTGAGGAGCTCCTGCATCATTAGAATGAGGCGTCTGCAGAGCCTGCTGGCTGCTGAGGAGCTCCTGCATCAATAGAATGAGATGTCTGCAGCGCCTGCAGACTGCTGAGGAGCTCCTGCATCATTAGAATGAGATGTCTGCAGCGCCTGCTGGCTGCTGAAGAGCTCCTGCATCATTAGGACGAGGCGTCTGCAGCACCTGCTGGCTGCTGATGAGCTCCTGCATCATTAGAATGAGGCGTCTGCAGCGCCTGCTGGCTGCTGAGGAGCTCCTGCATCATTAGAAGGAGGCATCTGCAGCGCCTGCTGGCTGCTGAGGAGCTCCTGCATCATTAGAAGGAGGCATCTGCAGCGCCTGCTGGCTGCTGAGGAGCTCCTGCGTCATTAGAAGGAGGCATCTGCAGCGCCTGCTGGCTGCTGAGGAGCTCCTGCGTCATTAGAAGGAGGCATCTGCAGCGCCTGCTGGCTGCTGAGGAGCTCCTGCGTCATTAGAAGGAGGCATCTGCAGCGCCTGCTGGCTGCTGAGGAGCTCCTGCGTCATTAGAAGGAGGCATCTGCAGCGCCTGCTGGCTGCTGAGGAGCTCCTGCGTCATTAGAAGGAGGCATCTGCAGCGCCTGCTGGCTGCTGAGGAGCTCTTGCATCATTTCTCCATACGTCTTCTATGTCTAGGTGACGACAAACTGCCATAAGGACTTCAGCCATGACAGAAGTTAGGATACTTATATTGTTCCACCTGAGCAGCGGCTCTCTCCTCCATAGTCATCATGGGGCTCCTTGGCTCCGCCTCCCTGATTGGCTGCTCTCTGACAAGGTTCCTCTCTGTTGTGCTGCTGTGTAAAGGTTGTGATCCCTCTCTGCTCTGTTTGGTAGATCCGTTGGACCAAGACAGCAGGTGGAGCCTCCGACCGTCCAGGAAGTTCCACGCTGGACAGTGGCACTCTGAGAATCGACAACATCAGACGCCACCAGGGGGGGCGCTATTACTGCAAGGCTGAGAACGGGCTGGGGTTCCCCGCCATTCGCTCCATTCGGGTGGACGTCTACTGTAAGCTAAGCGCCTCTCTACTGGCCCATGTTTCATGCTAGGCCGCCATAAAGCAAAGATTTACACTTCCTGAGTCTGTCTGCTCAGGAAACTTAAACTGCTGGGTTCAGTGGAAATGGATTCAGGATTCTCTTTCCTGTTTTAGATACCGTGTTGATTTGGTCCATAAATAAACTGAACTGGATTACTGCAACCTTCCAGAATGATTCCCTCTTTCTCCAACAGACTTGGACAAACCTGTGATAACGGTGCATCAGAGCGACGACGAACCAAAGGAGCAGTTCTACTTCGAGCGGACAGTCTTCCTCCGTTGTGTAGCCAGCTCCAACCCTCCGGTGGTCTACACCTGGACCAGAGACCGGGAGGTGATCGCTGAAGGCTCTGATTCAGGGGTGGAAATTTACAAACCGTTTTTCACACAGGTGAGGACTCAGGATTACACCACGCATGCTGGGAACAGATTAACATCACAGGAAATGAGGAGCAGACTTTTCTTCAGTGGTAGAACAGACGTCAGGTTTAATCTGATCTTTCTGCTCCCAGTTTGCTCTGATCATCACTAAATATCATTATCCCTTCAGGTTGAAGAAATCCTTAAGTATTTCACCCTCTAATGAGGAAGATGTGGGATAACAGAAGTTTTGTGGGTGGTTTCTAACCAGATCATTTAAAACCTGGTTTGGCTGTTTTTAAGGATGCTGTTCAGCGTCCTGCTCTCTCTCACCGTCTCACAGCCTGATTTTAATGCAGCTCACTTTTAGACACTCCAGCATATCTGACCCTCTGCTGCCTACATCTGGAGCTGAGCTAACTTCTACCCTGAGTAGGAGCATCTACACTGAAGCGGGTTGTCATTGTCACACAGTGTCACCCAGGGTGCGTTTCCTGATCTAAAAAGCTTGGTTCCGCTGATAAACAAATGAAGAGAAGATCTTCACAGAGTCACAAATTCTACATTTCCAGCATGTTATCATTTTGGTCTATTTGGACGTCACTGCGATTAACACAGGGTTCAGTGTTGCCAACTCAGCGACTTTGTCGCTATATTTAGCGACTTTTCAGACCCCTCCAGCAACTATTTTTCAAAAAAGCGACTAGCGACAAATCTGGCAACTTTTTACGGTGTCACTGGCAGCTTTTGGAGACTCTTACGTGAAAGCATGTATCGTTCCTACTCTGCCGTGGGGCGCCTCCCCCATCCCAACCCCGTTCTCCCGCAGGAGTCCCTCTCAGCGCTGCAGTCAGAGCCGCAGGATGTTTACCCTCAGCGTCCAGACTGCAAATGAAGCGCGCATGCGCCGGGATTGACGGCGCAAATTGATCACGCGGTGCCGCTCCGCCCTGATCACATTCAAGGCGCGAGCGAGCGGGATGTAACTGTAAAATGTAATTTGGTCTAAAATAAATAACTGAATTTGAAATATTTCATCTTAAATAAATAACAGCATTTGATACACACAGCCAAAGTCAGTCACTTAATCACCTTGTCCATTTTGTCTTTCTGTGACAACATTATTTCTCCCACAGCATCAATAACATGCACATCACTTCCTGTGGCAAATTATGCAAATTAGGCGTTACGTCATTTAGCGACTTCTAGTGACTTTTAGCACAGCCAATAGCTACTTTCCTTACTGAGGAGTTGGCATCACTTACAGGGTTACCTTCCCATTATACAAATGACCAACGAGGGTCATATTCCCTCTGAGACTCTGCTGGTCCTGAGAGGCACTGATATCCACATTTACACTGTAGGTAAAATGAGGGAATTGGGTTATAGAGATAATGTACCTTACAGGCTCCTCAGTGAAGGATTTCTGAGGAGAACGTTTCTAATAGACTCCAGACGGTGAGCTGAGGAGCAGCGCTAACGGCTACTGATGCTACGTTTCATTTATCTCTGTAGCTTAAGTGGAATCTGAAACATAAACAACCAATTTTCCAGTTTTTCAGATGAGAAATCTGAATGGCTATGCCAATTACTGCTAGCGGCCGAAGCTAAACATGGAGAACTTTCACCCATGACAGCTTTGCGTCTTAATAAGGGTGAACATTTTTCTGAAAACAACCTGAATGTTGTGTGTTTCTTTAAACCTGTCCTGCTTATAGAAGAAGAGGCTATAAACCTTAGTTTATCTTAAAGGGCATTTAGCTTAAGTATTATATATGTAAATGTGTAGATATGTAGAGGGTCTACAGTAGAGGAGTTCTAATCAGGGTCAGACTGTCACCTTTCAGCATTTCCAACATCATTTAACAATCAAAGGTTACGACTGCAGCTTTAAAGGTCACCTTACTGAGTAGCTCTGACATGAAACCTGGAAACGCAAACGAAGAGTGGCTCTTTATTCATCAACCCGTCTCACAGGAGCACGAGGAATATTTTCACAGTGAAGATTCGATTTGTTTTCCAGGGCGAGACGAAGATCTTGAAGCTGAAAAATCTCCGCCTGCAGGACTACGCTGACTACACCTGCATCGCCTCGGTCAGGAGGGCCTGTGGCATCAGAGACAGAAGCAGCCACTTCATTCTGAACAACAGGACAGGTAAAACCAGACTCAGCAGAGGACACCCTTTGGTGGCACTCAGTCATTCCGTAAAGGGCAGCTGTCCTCCATAAATGCAATATCTACAGACGGCTCATAGGGAACCACAGCGAGCTCATGATCATACAGTAGCAGCCTTTCAAAATGGCTTCTCCTTGTCAAACGCCAGCCGAATGGAAGCAGACTCCCCTGCAACTCCCAGCAAAATGCGCTCCAACTTCCAGCCACCGGAGTGACGACCTTTCACTGAATTACAGGGTCTGACCAGAAGATTGTGCTTCACTTTAGATCTTAATGTCCACAAATCATTACAGAAAGAATATTTTAGTATAAAGATGGATGTTTAAAAAGGAATTGTAGGAGACCAGCCAATGATCAGCCAACCACCAGCCAAGGACCAGCCAATGACCCTTCAAGGAAAGTGGGGAAATTTTGAATGGCTACTAGTGTAGACTGAGGTTGCTGCCATCTTGTGACCAAAGATAGGATCAACATCGGATGAATGAGCTCAGTTACGTTTACACCGGGCGCGACAGAAGCAGCGAGTTTACATGCAAAGTCAATGGTTGACGTGCGTCAAGGCGCAGCAAAAGGTCCCGCAGCGCGTTTTGAGCAGCAGGCGCAGCGCGTCGGCCGCGTTTAAGCATCTGACGCGCGTGACGCGCCGCTCGAGATGGAAAAATGTAACTTTTGCTGCTCGACGCGCCGCATCAACCAATCAGTGACGCTGATCTGGGAGCTGGCAGGGAGAGAGACACAGCGCTGATGATACAGAGCGCTGTGATCACTCCTCTGAAACAGTGTATTGACGCATAAATTAACTTAAAATGCAGAAACCTGCAGACAGAATATGTTCACTTGTATTATCCTGCTGCCTGCAGTTTAGATTATTTAGATGAAAAACACCTACCAGCCGCCGCGGTGAACCGCGAGGAGGCGACCCGGCCAGAGGCTGCTGTTGAATGGGATTCTTACTGACAGCGCCGCTGGTATGTGGGGGTCTGAGCGGCTCCGACAGAACTAATATTGGAAGGCAGGATGGTAATCTGGATGAACTGACTGCAATGATGAAGTTTTCAGGTGGATTTTCCCACTTAAAAACATATTAAAACTACTTTATTCCCACTGATCACAGCAAATATAGCTGCAAGGCAAAGAAAGGATAGAGTAGCTCCGCCCAACTCGCGTCAGACACACTTTTGCACCGCAGCAGACGCGATTTTGCTGCTCCTGCTGCGTCCGGTGTGAACGCAGCATTAGACAGCAGCTGGGTCTGTAGCAGTTTGCAGGGAGCGTCTTCTTGATTTTTATCTTAGCAATAACTGTTACAGATGCTGCCTGCTGATGGAAGAGGAGTAGACCTCCATCTGTATCCTGGGGTGTCAACTCTCACTCACTGGGTGTGAGACTCATGCATCTCAGTGTCTTCACACTCTCACTCCGTATCCCCAATTTTTCATGCTAAAAAAAAAAGGAAATTAAAACTCAACTCCATTCCACTTATTTATATATAAAAATACTATGCTGATAAAAACCCAGTCTGCGTTTTCAACACAGCGTTAGTGCTAACACATGCCATATTAATCAAATCTGTCTTAAAGTTATAGTAGAGGATGTTCTTTTTCTGGGTGGATCATCTAAATAAGTGGTCCTCCTAACTGTCAATCATTCTGGTGCTTTGCACGCGTTTAATAGGTGTTCCCTCCTGGGACCAGGTACAGGGTTGTTAATGTGCATTTTTTTTGCGAAAATTCGTGAAAATCCTCTATCATAGCTTTGAGCAGAATAATAAGACCATGAACAAGATGTACAAAATCCAGAGATGAGTGAAATATGTGAAAATGCAAAATATGCACAAAGAAGAACCTTTCTGTTCATTAATAAAATGGGAACCAACCAATAAACAGATTGTTATTGATTATAATGGTTAGCATGTTTCTATCCAGCCAGACTGGGATCTGCTGCATGCAGTAAAACAGCCCTTGCCTCTGACAGATGCTGAGGAGGTGAAGAAAAGCTTTTCTAATAATGAGGGAGCTAAAAATAGCGAGGCTGACCTTTGCTTAGCGAGCTTCATGTAAATCCCATCAGCCCCTGGGGTTCGGTTGGAGCAGCTTCCTCTGGTCGGTCATTCTTCGCTGCTAGAGGGAACCAGAACAGGTTTTATGTGACGGACCCCATGCTGCACGCTGAGGTCCGGTTCATCATGGGATCTCGGTCTCTGGAGAAGATGCAGGTTTGGGGTTCAGTCAGTCGAGGTTAGCTCTGAGCTGCAGAGGTAACTGTATCCAAGCCGCTCAGACCCAGCGTCCCATCAGTGTGCTAAACAGAGTTTAATGACAGAGGAAGCCTTTCATTCATCCGCATGTGAATAATCCCAATAATCAGAGATGGCAAAAGTACTCACTTTCAGTGCTTGAGTAAAAGTACAGATACTTGTGTTAAAAAATACTCTGATAAAAGTGGAAGTACTGATTAAACTTCTTTACTCAAGTAAAAGTAACAAAGTACAGGCTTGTAAATTTACTTAAAGTATAAAAGTAAAAGTAGAAACCACTTTTTTCATGCCGTTGCCTACATTTTAAATGGATGTCTGCCAATAGGTCTAGATCTCCGTTGTGTTCATTTTCAATCATCTCGTCGTCCATACTACTATGCTAGCGCCACCGCCACCAAGCTGCAATGATTTGCAGCGAATGAATACCGCCGAATCTGTCGATTCATCTTGTAGTGGTGCGTCAAATGCAACGTAGATTCCCATCCAATTAGACTGAATTTGGTATTGATGACGTGAAAAATAATAACGGTAACTCCATTGAAATGATTCAAAACTAAAGTAACGAGCCTATTTTTTAAAATGTAAGGAGTAGAAAGTACAGATATTTGTGTAAAAATGTAAGGAGTAGAAGTAAAACGTCGCCATAAAAATAAGTAGTAAAGTAAAGTAAAAATATCAGAAAAATCCACTTGAGTACAGTAACGAAGTATTTGTACTTCATTACTTCCCATCTCTGCCAATAACCCTGACTCTAAAGGAATCTCTGTGTTTTAATCCCAACAATCTGAGGTGCATCTTGGTTAATCTCCTCCTAATTTTCATTTATAAGAATTTTAGGTTCAGTTTTCCTCACAGCTCCAAATAAAACTATTGTTTTAAAAATGATCTCAGTGTTCAGTCTGACTGCATGCTCTAGTTGTCGGCCATCTTGAATATTCAGAATTATTTGATTTCAGAGGAAATCTCGACAACTGAGGCTGAATAAAAGACCCGTCTCCCTGTGAAAAAACCTAGCTGTTCCTACAGCTCCTCTAAGAAGCGGCTGACGGTGCAGCCTTTGATTAATGAGGCTGCATGTGGTGGAGCTGCTGCATCAGCAGCCCGCTCAGAACGGGGCTGAACAGGCCGCTCAATGGACGCCCTGGGATGAGATCTGTTTTCAGTACCGTGAGTCTTACTGCGTTTGTTAGGTTTCTGGGTTTTATCCTTGACCTGTTGAGCAGAACTTTATTCAACCATGAATTGTTTTTAAAGTGCTATGAAGGTAATATTTGTTTATCTAATAAGTAATTTGAACTTTTCAACCTCTTTAGCCTGCGCTCATCTTCTGTAGGTCATCTAAGCACTCATTAAACTAGAGAAAAAAAAAAAAATTAAATTTATTAGAGAGATTTACTAAAATTAAAGGAGCTGCCATTAATCCGGACTGAAACTTTGCAATAAAAGCCGTTTTTTTTACTGAGCTGAATCTTAAGTTGGTTTTTATAATTTTTATGTTTTTAACTCCAGATGAGGGAACATGTGGTTTTCCACCAAGCTGCTACCTGAACAGGTAGACGCTGTCTGCCACTGTGCTTCCTCCTACTGGCTGTAGAAATGATGTTACTGGTTTCTGGCATCAAGGTGGAAATCAGATGATTCATATGATGTTTGAAACTCTCAGAAGTTGGATGTTTATTTCTTTTTTATTTCTAGACAAAGAGAAGAGTTCAGGCAGTCAGAGTTTTGATTGTTTGCTTGTTTTTCTCTTTTCTGCTTCAGTCGTTTCATCTCTTAATGAATCTCTTACATTCATTTATGACCAAATCTAAACTAAAAGCTTGAAATCAAAAGTCACTTTCACCCTGGATGAACTTTAAATGTGTTCATTAACCACGGAGCTGTGCTTCCTTCTCAGCTCCTCCTTCTGTTAAAATACTTCTGGAGGATCCTGTGGTGGCAAACCCCGGGGAGACAATCGCTCTGGTATGTAAGGTGGTGAGCGGCCATCCTCCACCAACACTGAGGTGGCTTAGAGCGAGAGATGAAGATCTGCCGAAGAGGAGCATCGTCAAAGATGGAACCCTGACAGTTCCTGTTATCACCGACGATGATGGAGGAACCTACACCTGTATGGCTTCAAACAATGTAGGAAACTCTGCGAAGAAATCCATCAGCATACTGGTCAGAGGTACGACCATGTAATGGATGGATGGATGGATGGTTGGATGATGGAAGGATGGATGATGGATGGATGGTTGGAAGATGGATGGATGGTTGGATGATGTGTTGATGGATGGTGGATGGATGGATGGATGGATGAATGATGGATGGATGGATGAATGATGGATGGATGGATGAATGATGGACGGATGGATGATGGATGGATGGATGATGGATGGATGGTTGGATGATGTGTTGATGGATGGTGGATGGATGGATGGATGGATGGATGAATGAAGGATGGATGGATGGATGAATGATGGATGGATGGATGAATGATGGATGGATGGATGATGGATGGATGGATGATGGATGGATGGATGGATGGATTGATGGATGATAGATGGATGGACGGATGGATGGATAATGAATAGGTGAATGATGGATGGATGGATTATGAATGGATGATGGATGGATGGATGGATGAATGATGGATGGATGAATGATGGATGGATAATAGATGGATGATGGAGAATGGATGGATGGATGAATGATGGATGGATGGATGATAATGGATGGATGGATGGATGGATTATGATTGGATGATGGATGGATGGATGGATAATAGATGGATGATGGAGAATGGATGGATGGATGGATGGATGAATGATGGATGGATGGATGGATTATGATTGGATGATGGATGGATGGATGGATGGATGAATGATGGAGAATGGATGGATGGATGGATTATGATTGGATGATGGATGGATGGATGGATGGATGAATGATGGATGGATGGATTATGATTGGATGATGGATGGATGGATGATAATGGATGAATGATGGTTGGATGATTGGATGGATGAATGATGGATGGATGGATTATGATTGGATGATGGATGGATGGATGGATGGATGAATGATGGATGGATGGATGAATGATGGATGGATGGATGGATTATGATTGGATGATGGATGGATGGATGGATGAATGATGGATGAATGATGGATGGATGGATGAATGATGGATGGATGGATGAATGATGGATGGATGGATGAATGATGGAGAATGGATGGATGGATGGATTATGATTGGATGATGGATGGATGGATGGATGAATGATGGATGGATGGATTATGATTGGATGATGGATGGATGGATGGATGGATAAATGGATGGATGGATGGATGAATGATGGATGGATGGATGGATGGATGGATGAATGATGGATGGATGGATGGATGAATGATGGAGAATGGATGGATGGATGGATGGATTATGATTGGATGATGGATGGATGGATGAATGATGGATGGATGGATTATGATTGGATGATGGATGAATGATGGATGGATGGATGGATGAATGATGGATGGATGGATGGATGAATGATGGATGGATGGATGGATGAATGATGGAGAATGGATGGATGGATGGATTATGATTGGATGATGGATGGATGGATGGATGGATGAATGATGGAGGATGGATGGATGATGTTCCATCTGATGTCTTTTCATGGCCGATCTACAGGTCTACGTAAGGGTCGGTTCTGGATCACACCGGATCCGTACCACAATGAAGACAATATTCAAATTGGCCGGGAGGTGAAGATCAGCTGCCAGGTGGAGGCCACGCCTTCAGACGAGCTGCAGTTCAGCTGGCTGAAGAACGGCCGGCCTCTGAAGAGCTCTGAGCGAATGGTCATCACCCACACCGACCCCAGCGTCTCACCAGGAACCACCAATCTGGACATCATAGACCTAAAGTTTACAGACTTTGGCACCTACACCTGTGTGGCATCACTGAGGAACGGCGGAATCCCAGAGATCAGCATCGATGTAAACATTTCATCCACCACAGGTGAGGCTCTCTGTGGATTAGGGCTGGCTGAATCAGGAGCAGCTGTCAGAGCGCGGGGGGGCGGAGCCTCATTGTTCATAGAGTTACAGGAAATATTAGAAATAGGGCTCCAGATTTTATTTTGCTGTTTCAGTTATTGACTTCTAAAAGAAACCTCCTCATTCAGCCTCTTCTAAACCGGCTGGTTTGGCTTTTCCACGGCCTCTCAAAGGCCGCGCCCCCACAAGTCGCAGCCATTACAACCAGTCAGAGCTGGTAATGATGGGAGTTAGGAGAGCAGAATAATACAGAAGAAAAAGGCTGCAGCCTGACCGCCGGGCTGCTGCAGGCCGCTCTGAGCAGCTTAGCTCCTGCAGACGGACGTCTTTAGATGTCTTTCATTCAAAAACCCACCAAAAATCAAATCTCTCTGGAGCCGCAAAGTCTTCTATAAGCCTTGTTTTGCAACACCAAGTGTATTAGCCCACTATAAAGAAGGACAATCTAGGCTTATATCTACAATGAGCATTGATGATTAAATGTTTATCTTGGAGCAAATGTCTACATCCTCCGCTGTTCCTACCGTGTTGATCCGCTCAGACTTCCTATGAGTTTGAGGAGAGCATGGGCTATATTATTAAATTCAAAGCAGCAAAACATGCGTAAATGAACCAGGGTTTTCCGCGGATCATTACAAATCGTTAAAAGTCATTAAAATAATAATTTTTAAATGAAGGCCTTAATTGGCACTAATTGTGATTATATTGGAATTTGAAATGCTGTATTAAAAAAAAAAGTGTTTATAAAAACTATTTCGTCAGATATATTGCGATTAATTTGCGTGGAAACTGCTAACAGTTGATCATAAAGCCGTGTGTTCGGAAAAGAAGCTCTAGTCGGAGAAAAGGCTAGGGAATGGGGAAATGTTCATTTCAACAAAAGTGTCTGGAAAACGAGGAATTCCACGGTAAAGATGATGGATTTTGCCGATCTTCAGATGAAGATCTATTTCCCTCACCCTGACTGGCATGCCTCTCTAAATAATGACCTCCATGTTTTCTCTGTCTTCAGTCCCTCCAGAGCTCACGGTGCCTAAGGGCCAATCCCACCTGACTGTTCTGGAAGGAGAGACTGTGGACCTGCAGTGTTTGGTGTCAGGGAAACCCAAACCCATCATACTGTGGTCTCGGGTGGAAGAGAACGGTCCAGCAACAGCCGCAGAGCCTGTGATGCCAGACGGCACGGCTCAGATGGAGAGCTATGATGGCATCCTGAGGATCTACAACGTGACGAGGAAGATGAGCGGAACCTACCGCTGTCAGACCAGTCAGTACAACGGCTTCAACGTCAAACCCCGAGAGGCGCTGATCCATCTGGTGGTGCAGTGTGAGTAAAGACAATTACGACAGCAAGGGTAAATGGATAAAACAAATATCACTATGAGGTCTTCCTTTGTTTTAAAAACAACATTTCCATTCAGTTCATTATCTGAGAGTTTTTGCTTGCTTCTGTTGTAGCAAAACAAATAATTTTGGTTTATCTGGTGCAAACCTGAGCTGCAATAAACCATTTGAGGCTGAACTCATGAGAGATTTCAGTTTTCCTCGATTCCAATTAATTAGCTTGGGTCCTTCTACTAAGGATGTTGACCTGGGAGGCATATATAGAGCTGTCAAAGAGCCAACATAGAGCCACCATAGAGCCACCATAGTGCCCTCATAGAGCCAACATAGAGCCAGTATAAAGCCGTCAAAGAGCCAACATAGAGCCACCATAGAGCCAACAGAGAGCAATCATAGAGCCAACATAGAGCCAACATAGAGCAATCATGGAGCTTTCATAGAGCCATCATAGAGCCAACATAGCGCTACCTTAGAGCCACCATTGAGCCATCAAAGAGCCAACATAGAGCCAACATAGACCCATCATAGAGCCAACATAGCGCTACCATAGAGCCACCATTGAGCTGTCAAAGAGCCAACATAGAGTCACCATTTAGCTGTCAAAGAGCCAACATAGAGCCAGCATAGAGCAATCATAGAGCTTTCATAGAGCCATTATACAGCCAACATAGCGCTACCATAGAGTCATCGTTGAGCCATGATAGAGCCAACATAGAGCCAACATAGAGCAATCATAGAGCTTTCATAGAGTCATCAAAGAGCCAACATAGAGCCATCATAGAGCTCTCAAAGAGCCAACATAGAGCCACCACTGAGCTGTCAAAAAGCCAACATAGAGCCATCATAGAGCCACCATAGAACTGTCAAAGAGCCATCATAGTGCCATCATAGTACCATCATAGAGCCATCATAGTACCATCATAGAGCCGTCAGACAGAGGAAACATCCGACTCCTGCTTTGAGAAAGAGAGAATCCAAGGAATTCAGAAAAGCAGCTCTGCTCTCTGGATGGAGAAAGGAAAGCAGATCAGCCTCATTAGGGACAAAGAACTTCTCTAGCTGAGTTCTTAGAAGCTGAACTAGCAGGTTTGAACACCTTCTGTATAAAGATGTCTACAAACCCCAGCGGCCGTGTTTCCATTCTCCTGAAAAATGATGCGGTGGAGTTCAGCTGTGCTGCGTGGCGTCCTACTTTCCACCGTCTCCTCGTGCTCAGACACACATATCTTCCTGACCATTGCAAACAGAAAACAATGGAAATGTTCTGCAAACGGATGAGGACAGATCTCCAGCTCAGATGAAGATCATTTTCCAATTTTTAAGTTTTTTATTTTACATAATTATTTTTTTCTTACATTTTTATTGAATCTGTGAGTCGGACTCTGTTTGTTTTGGGTTTCATAAAGCTGGATTGTTATGAGTCTGACTGTAAAGTCAGGCGTTGGCACTGCCCCCCACGCCCCTCTGGTCTTTATTGGTGGAGTTAGGAGAGCAGCAGCTGCTCTTGTTGGGTCTAAGTTGAACCTGAATCTAAGTCTTACTTCCTGGAAGCTCTGGGTAAACAGAAAACATGTCTCGTCTTCCTGGACTGTATGTAGCATCCTGCCATGTTCTCTGTGTTTCAGTCCCTCCCACCGTGGAGCCTGTGTACACTGAAGTCCGTCAGGCGCTCGGCCGGGCTTTCAGCCTCACCTGCAACCTGCTGCAGGCCTACCCGGCTCGCCACCTGCAGTACGAGTGGAAGCTGGGCCCCCGCCTCCTCACTGTGGGAGAGTTTACTGACCAAACACATGACACCAGCTACCACGTTAAAGCCCTGAACCGAGAGGGTTACGGCGAGTACACCTGTGATATCACCAACGAGGCGGGGGCCGGTCGCTGCACCTTCCTGGTTACAGGTGAGCTGGTTTGATTGGACGAGTGTGTAAAGGTGTGTGAGGGAAACGTTACAGCAGCTTCTCTCTAGAGGTTCAAACAAACCCTGATTCCTCTAATAGTTGGAGAATGGGAAGTTTCAAAAAGTTTAATGACAGAAATAACAGATCAGGACAGGGGCTGCGGAGATAAGCAGACTGCAGTGGCTGCAGGAGGGGGGACACTCTGGTTTAACAGTTCAGTCCATCCTCTCAGAGGAAGGCAGGATCAAGCCGATGGAACGCTAAACGAGATGCGGTACTGGGCCGTCCAAAGCGTCCCCGATGCAGCAACCCCAGCAGAGATGGCAAAAGTACTCACTTTCCGTACTTGAGTAAAAGTACTGATACTTGTGTTAAAAAATAGTCTGGTAAAAGAGGAAGTACTGATTAAACTTCTTTACTCAAGTAAAAGTAACAAAGTACAGGCTTGTGAATTTACTTAAAGTATAAAAGTAAAAGTAGAAACCACTTTTTTCATGCCGTTGCCTACATTTTAAATGGATGTCTGCCAATAGGACTAGATCTCCGTTGTGTTCATTTTCAATTATCTCGTCGTCCATACTACTATGCTAACGCCACCGCCACCAAGCTGCAATGATTTGCCGCCGAATCTGTCGATTCATCTTGTAGTGGTGCGTCAAATGCAACGTAGATTCCCATCCAATTAGATTGAATTTGGTATTGATGACGTGAAAAATAATAACGGTAACTCCATTGAAATGATTCAAAACTAAAGTAACGAGCCAATTTTTTAAAATGTAAGGAGTAGAAAGTACAGATATTTGTGTAAAAATGTAAGGAGTAGAAGTAAAAAGTCGCCATAAAAATAAGTAGTAAAGTAAAGTAAAAATATCAGAAAAATCTACTTGAGTACAGTAACGAAGTATTTGTACTTTGTTACTTCCCATCTCTGAACCCCAGTGAGCGGGCAGGAGACCAATCCAGGTCAGAGAAACAGTTCAGAACCAGACAGTTCTCAGATCCAGGAGTCCGTAGCCCGACCAGGGGTTCCAGGTAGATCCAGGGTTCCAGGAATCCTCAGAGCGTTCCGGCAAGTTCAGAGCTTTGAGTCCAGCAGTGAGCTCAGACAGAAAAAAGCTCAGATGCAGACAGGCAGGCTCAGTGGTTCAGAGGAACAGAGACAAGACATGGTACCAGGATAAATGCAGAACTTTAAACTGGTCTCCACCTTGGAGCCAGGATTACGGGACAAAAACTGACCTCGCCCACGTTCCAAGCCAAAACCCTGAGGGCTCCACGGAGAAGAGTAGAGACACGATCAGGAGACAGGAGACAAACAATAAACCCTCTAAATCCAATGGCCTCCTTAACTTAAACTCATAACAAGCATAAATAAGTGACACGACAAAATAACACAATCAAACTAATACACAAATAAACTAAAAAATACTAACGAATAATGAAATGCAACTTGCCTAATAATTCTGCACACAGTAGGAGAGTCCAAACTCTCTGATTCTCAGAGTGTTCTGGTTCTGTCTCCTCCTGATGAAAACCCGTCAGATTCCCACTAAAAGCTGCTAACATGTTAATCCTCTTAGCTGGGTGGCTGCCAAGCAGCGGCAGCAGAAACTTTGTGGATGAGGGAAGTGGAGGCTGGGTGTGAGGAAGCTGAGGGATGGTCTGTGGTGGACCTGTCTCTGCTTTGCTGAGGCATCATTGGGGATAATAAGTCCTTCCTTATCAGGCAGAAACTGCTGAGACGACAGCAAAGCTGGAAAAGCTGAACCTGTTCCTGGTATATTCAGCTCCCAGTGAAGACACTGCAGTGAAGGACTGAGCGGAGCCCTGGCAGCAGGGTTACTCATTATTATACATGTTAGAAACATTTGACTGTTTTAGAGTAAAAATAAATGAACAGATATTATAGGAATAAACTATTAAGCGTTATTGTTCAGATTTCAGCATCTAAGGCAGACTGGTTTACTGGGAGGGGCCTAATGGTGCTTTGATCTTCTGGAGCAGAGGGACTCTGTCACAGAAAAATAAAACTAAGCTTTCCTCTCTGTTCTGGTAAAAGCTGCTCAAACATTTTGATTGAATAAATCAGCTGCAGCTTGTTCAGCATCGCACGGTCTTTTATTGTTAATTCACTTCCAATGTTCAACAACTCCTTCCTGGAGCAGACAGGAAATAAGAAAGAGATGAGCAAATTTAAAGCACAGATCTTAACCATGAGTGCACAGCACCCCCTAGCTGCCATCATAGCCAACAACCACCAGTGAGGATCACTCATTGAAAGAAGTCAAAACAAGTTAACTTTAGATCATCCCAGTGATACTGCTGCAGTAGAGATGCTACATGGCTCTTTGACACATCACCAGTTTCACCAGTTTCACCAGTTTCACATCCACAACGGGTGAAGCAGCTTCCTGACTGTAATTACAGTCATTTAAAGCTGTCAGAGCTGCATTATTAGTCTACCTGCTGGTGAAGATTCTCAGTCTTCCAAGTCATAGTCGTTCCAAAGAAGTTAAAGAAGTTAAAAAACAATCCACTAGACTTAATTTCCAAGTTTGAAGACATTTTCCTTCCCATCCAGGAAGCTGTTTTTATTTAAAATGTGTGGAGTAGCATTTGACTTCCAGGCTTTATACAGTAGACCAAACAAACGCCTTATTAGGGCTTAGAAAACATGCAAATTGAACTGAAAACTATTGGTTGGACCCATTTTTCCGGTTTAATTGCATGTTTTCTAAGCCATAACAAGGCTTTGTTGGTTTACTCTATAAAGCCTGGAACTCAACACTAATCCAGACATTTTGAATTGAGGAAGTTTATTGGATGGGAAGCGAAACGTCTTCTGACTTGGAAAATAAAGTCCAGTGGTTTCTTTTTAATCTTTTTAACCTTTTTTGGATTGATTAATCTACATTAGTTAATGTGTATTGTCTCCCATACGGCCCGGCTAAAGCTGTGTCCTTTTTTAGGTTTGGGGAATTTTTAACAAAATGCATTGATTTTAGTTTGCTGTAAAATATTTCAACCTAAAATATCAGCTCCATATATGGAAGGTTTTCTTCTAGTAGGAGCAGCTCAGTCAAAGGAAGACCTCTGATGGCTCCTTGTTTCCTTCTGCTCCTCAGGGAAGGCCTACGGTCCAGAGTTTTACTACGATACGCCCCAGGCTCTGTGGCAGAACAGACCGCAGGTCTACGGCTTCAAGCTGCAGTGGACCCAGATGGAGCCCAACGCCGTGGACCGCATCCTGGCCTACAGGCTGGGTATCCAGCAGGTCAGACCTTCGCCATGTTCAGCAGACCATCAGCCAGCAGAACCTTCTGCATATTAACTCAGAGATTTTAGGAAATATTTCAATCAGGAAACTGGGAATAGATTTAGCAAAGCATATTAAAACATTGATAATATTAGTCTGAAGTTTCCTCCTGTAGGATCGTATCTGGTGTTTCTCTGATGTTAGGAGGTTTAGTTTTGAAGGTTTGTTCTGCTGTCAGTTTGTCTGTTTCTGCCCTCGGTTGAAGTGGCGGCCGCCTGTCAGAAGGCCACAGCTGGAGGGCTGGGCAGAAACCAGCAGCTGTCCAACTGGCAGCTGCTCTCCTTACTGGGAAAGCATTCCTCCTTAGAGCAAGAGGAAAAAGATGTTTTCTCTCTTAGTTCCATTTAGTTTGGAGCTAAATATTTATTTAAAAACTAAATATTGATTAAAAAAACTAAACATTTAATTTGCAAAGTAAATATTTTGTTTGGAGCTAAATATTTATTTAAAAACGAAATATTTGTTTTAAAAAACTAAACATTAAATTTGCAATGTAAATATTTATTTGGAACAAAATATTTATTTAAAAACTAAATATTTAATTTGCAAAGTAAATATTTTTTTTTGGAGCTAAATATTTATTTAAAAATGAAATATTTGTTTTAAAAACCTAAACATTAAATTTGCAATGTAAATATTTAGTTTGGAACAAAATATTTATTTAAAAACTAAACATTGAATTTTCAAAGTAAATATTTAGTTTGAAACGAAATATTTATTTAAAAACGAAATATTGAATTTGCAAAGTAAATATTTAATTTGGAGAATAATATTTATTTAAAAAGTAAACATTTATTAAACAATTTTTTATTATTATAAATGACTGAATGAATGACACAGTGAAAAAATGACTTTGAAAAAAATAACCCCATGATTTTTCTCTTAAAATATGCTAAATAACCATAAATATTGCTCCTAGTTTTTCACTTTACAAACGGCGCCCCACGGTGTCCAACATGACGTTGTTTGTTGATGAGGTACCAGAAGCGAACTCCCATAATGCTCCTCTGTGTGTCTCAGAAGGGTCAGACTCGCTGGTGGGAGCAGGAGATTCCTATTGGTGGATCCATCCAGAAGGGCCAGCTGCTGACCTACAACCTGAGCGAGCTGAACAAACCAGACTCCTACCTGGTGCGCCTCACCCCCATCACCCGGTACGGTGAGGGGGATGCCTCTGAACGCATCATCACCTACAGCGGTGCGTTGTTCTCCTCTCCTTCAACCAGCCGTCACATCATCTCTGTGCTTTTTAGAGGAAGCGAAGGTTTCCCTCACTGCTCTGTTATTGAAAGTACCCCTCCTCCCATTTGAATGAGCCAGCTGTGAGTAGAATCTAAAACCATTTCAGTGAGTTGATGTTAATTATTCCCTGGATAGTCCAGAAACATCCTGTTAAAAAGATAAGATGGTGGACGTCCCAGAGCCTGATGGTCAAACTGGGAGCTAAGCTCCATGTTCTGAAACACCATGTGAGAAAGCAGCTCTGATTGACAGGAGACCAACATTGATGGGAACCAGCAGCTCCATGGAACTGGAGCCACTGGTTTACCGTTCTCTCCTCAGCCAACTGAACCGTTCAGTGAAATAAATAGAAAAGCTGCTTTAATTCTGCTCAGATTGTCTGATTCTGTCTCTTCTCTCTGCTTCTCTTTAGCTCCTGCTAACCCACATCTCAGTAAGTATCCCAGAAACACGCAGACCTGTTTATCCCATCATGACCAGCGCCTGCTCCACCCAGTCACATCTCCACCCAATCACAGCTTCAACCAATCACAGCTCCACCCAATCACATCTCCTTCTAATCACAGCTCCACCCAATCACAGCTCCACCTAATCATTGATCCATCCAATGACAACTCCATCCATCGCAGCTCCACCCAGTCACATCTCCACCCAATAACATCTCCTTCTAATCACAGCTCCACCCAATCACATCTCCTTCTAATCACAGCTCCACCCAATCATTGATCCATCCAATGACAACTCCACCCATCACAGCTCCACCCAGTCACATCTCCACCCAATCAAAAATCCGACCAATCACAGCTCCAACCAATCACAGCTCCACCCAATCACGGCCCCACCCAATCGCAGCTCCTACCAATCACAACTCCATCCAATCACGTCTCCACCCAATCACGGCTACAGCCAATCACGGCTCCAACCATCACAGCTCCACCCAATCGTTAAAGTTTGAAGACAAACAGTCTGAGGGTTGAATCAAGTTTTGGTTGGAGTTGGAGCTCCTTCAGCTGCAGCATCAGGTCCATCCTTTACTGACTGATTCTGAATGAATGAATGAATCAATAAATGAATGATTGAAAATTTATTTAATTTAGACAATTTTGAAAAATGAATAAATTAACCAAATAAAAGAGAGACTAGTTAATATCAACTAAACCAAACACCAATTTCCAAACTAATTAAATTCACCTGAACATGAAGAGAAACCACACCTTCCACCAAAATAAACCTGTTGGTTTATACAGCCAGAGAAATGACATTTATTCATGGAAATTGTCTGAATGTGGAAATCAGATCAGTTCAATTTTCACAAATACACATATGTGAGTAAAAGATGCACACATGCAGAAAGAAAGGGACGTCAGGAGATTCTCAAAGATCCACAAAAATAAGAAGACCTCTGGTACTTTGTAAATTAATTATTGTTTATGGAGCAGAAATACTTTGGTAGATCTTGTCCTGTTTATGTATGAATCAAATATGCGTATTAGTGGACATTTATTTAAAGAAAAACCTTCCTGTTAAATTTTTATGTTTTAATTTGATATTAACTCAACTCAACTTAAACTTTATTTATAAAGCACATTTAAAACAACCGGGGTTGACCAAAGTGCTGTACAGGAATCACAGTTAAGGAACATAAGATAAACGCTGAAGGCTAAAATACATAAACACATAAAATAGAATAAGATAAATGTTTCAATTAAAATACATTTTAGAATAAAATAAAATTGATATTAATACACACACACACACACACATAAATATATATAAATATATACATCTACATATATACAGCAGGGCTGCAGGGTTAGATTAGAACAGCTACAGGTTGGAGGTTTTCAGAGGATTTAACTGAAACAAAATGGGAAATGTGGAATTTTTACAGCACAGTAAATGTTACTGAGTAACAATAAGTGATCTGTTGTTATGTGGAACATTTTTAACACAATATACATTATTTTCTACATTCTGGTGATTTTTAGACAATTGAAGTAAAGCAGAATGGGCCCTACTAAAATACTTGCATCTTAAATATAATTTGCTCATTAATTATTCTCTGCAGCTCAAGTAAATTAAACAATGGGGAACTAATGAGTTATTACTGGATTACAGGCGCTGATACAGGAACCAGTGCAATGAAAACCTATGCAAACTACACTGTTTATGAATATATGGTAATAGGCTAAGGATTAAAAAGCTTCATTCATTACGTTATTAGTTACAATCAATCTTAAAATTGACAAAACGCCAAAACAGTTCAGACCGTCTAGGAGGCTGTAGATTTTATAAAAACTCACCATGAGAGGAGACGGCACTTCTCTGGATGTTTCAGTTTAAAAGGTGTGATGGAAATTAAGTCTTTAAACATATTCAGTGGACCAAAATAAATATAAATGAAGAAAATAAGTAATAATAAAAGAGGAACATCCCTGTGGTTCCTCCTCTATCAATCCTGGATAACTGAGTTGTTCTGCACATCCTCTCTGGATGTAGTTGGTCTTTTCTTGGGCGTCTGATCTTTTGAAAATAAAAATGTAATGCTTCTTTTGCTTTTTGTGGAGCTTCTATGGGTTTGAGAGGCAAACCTGGAAGCTTTAAGAATTAAAATGTTTGTGTTTGTTTAATTACTCCTAAATGCCAACGGGAGATTATTAAACTAGACTGAGCAATAATTATTTAATTGTCAGCAAAACATGGTCCTTGTGTTTTAGCACTAAGGTTGTATTAAAAACGCGGACTGGATTTTGATCCCCAATGTATTTTTATTCATAAATAAGTGGAACAGAGTCGAGTTTTAATGTCTAATTTTTTAGTGTGAGAAATTTGGAATATAGAGTGTGTGAAGACACTGAGATGGGTGAGTCTCTCTCCCAATGGGTGAGAGTTGACAGCCCTGTATACATGTAAATGAACTTATACACACCTACACATCATTTACACCCCCCCATCATCATAGTGGAGTCTGAGCTTAGTGCTTTGATCCTGAGGATATGATCACCAAACGGCATCATGTCACTTCTTCTTTTGTTCCTCTGATCAGTTTAGAAACTGAAATCTTTCGCCCTCTGGTTGATAAGCTAACTGGGTGTCAGGTAGATCAGGTTTTTATCGGTGAAGTTGGGTCTATCCATCCCTCCAGCACCTGTAAGTCTCCAGCTGTTCCTCCTGGATCACAGCTGGATGTTTTGCTCTGCAGGGAATTTCCTCTGTGGCTTTGAGGAAGACTCCTTATGCTCCTTTTCTCAAGACAAGTCGGACGAGTTCGATTGGACGCGTCACCGCGGCGCCGTCGAGGACGTGACCTTCACAGCCACCAGCGGGCCGAGCGCCGACCACACCGGCTCCAAGCAAGGTGCTCACACACACAGACCCAGCTGTTTGAATGATTTATGGGGACATTTCTTAGACTTAGACTTAGATTTTGTGTACACGAATGTAAACAAAAAGAACTTTCGTTAAGAACAGCTCTCCAGACAATTTCAGTTTTTTAAAGTGCAGCCTTGAAAACAGTATAAAATACATTAAAAACAGTAATATAACCATATGACTGTATATTTACAGTTCTAACATTTCAGTTATTTATTTTTTAAATAATATAATATAATAAAATACAATAAAATAACCAATTTTACATAACATTCAGCAGTCGGAAGGCGGTGGGGAAGAAGCTGTTGCAGAATCTGCTGGACCTGCATCCAATGCTGTTATGCCTCTTCCCAGAGGGCAGCAGGGAGAACAGTCCATGGTGGGGGGGTGAGGGGTCATTGATGATGTCACGGGCTCGGGACACGCAGCGCTGGGATGAAATGTCTTTAATGGAGGGAAGAGGAGCCCCCATGATCCTCTCTGCTGTTCTCACCTTCTTCCAGTCTGAGGCGCTGCAGCCTCCACACCACACAGTGAGACAGCTGGTCAGAACGCTCTCTATGGTGCTTCTGTAGAAGGTGGGGAGGATGGGTGGGGGCAGGTGGGCTCTGCTCATCCTCCGCAGGAAGTCCAAGCACTTCTGTGCCCTTTTGACCAGTGAGGTGGTGTTTCCAGTCCAGGTGAGGGTGTGTGAGATGAATTTGGTGCTGCTGACCACCTCTACAGCTGAGCTGTTGATGAGCAGTGGAGCGTGGTTAGGACGGTTCTTCCTGAAGTCCACCATGATCTCCTTCATCTTCTCCACGTTCAGGATCAGGCTGTTATCTTTGCACCACCAGCTGCTCCACCTCCTCTCTATAGTCCAGGTCGTTGTCGTCTCTGATGAGGCCCACCACCATGGTGTCGTCTGCAAACTTCACCATGTGATTGGTGGTGAACCTGGGGACGCAGTCGTGTGTCATCAGGGTGAACGGCAGGGGGCTCAGGACGCAGCCCTGAGGGGAGACGTGTTTAGACTGATGACATCAGAGGTGTTCTGTCTGACCCTGACTGACTGAGGTCTGTTGGTGAGGAAGTCTAGCAGCCAATAGCAGAGGGGTGTATTGAATCCCAGCTGTTCCAGTTTGCCCATCAGATGCTGTGGGATGATGATGTTGAAAGCTAAACTGAAGTCCAGGAACAGCATCCGCACGTGGGTGTTCTTCTCCTCCAGGTGTGCCACATGTTGGTAAAAATAAGGGACAACAGTCTTCAAGTTAGCCTGGTTAAAATCGCGTGCATTGATGAAAACACCCCCACATTGTTCTCGGTCTGCTGTTCTTGTGAACTGGAACAGTGCTAGGGCTGATGATGATGACGTTTCATGAGGACACGAGAACGCACAAGTACACATAGTGAGAAACGGCCTTTATTAAGGTTCCCTGACTGAGGCTGTGTCTGTACTTCACCATAACTGCTGACCTTTGAACTTTAACCCCTCCATCCCTATAGAGGACTTTATAGTGACTTTATCCCTATTTTTCGCTCTGCGTCTGTCACCTGACTCCGCCTCCCCGCATGGTGCCTGCCCCATCTTTGTTCTCTCGCCCCGAAAACAAATCCCATGATGCTTTGCAAGGAGAGCTCTTGCAAAAGCATCATGGGATTTATCTGCTGGTCTGGTGAGCATGGAGGATTTCTACTTTTCAAGGTGCATTGTGGGAAATTTTGAGGGCACTACATATCCATGATGTAACCACTGTGGTGCTGCATGGGGTCAGGGGTCATGGTGGAGGTTCGGACACAGCCTCACAGACTCTGCTGGGCTTTCTTCTTCTCTCCTCTCTGACCTCTGAAACATTCACCCAGCCTCTCTGTCACTCTGTGGACCTTCAGGCTTCTACATGTTCCTGGAAACATCGAGACCCAGGGTGGAGGGGGACAAAGCCCGGCTGACGTCGCCAACCTTCAACGTTAACCCCGCGAGTGTCTCCTCCTCCTCAGCCAGCAGCGGTGCCGCCTACTGCCTCACCTTCTACTACCACATGTACGGGAAGCATCAAGGTGAGGGTCACCAGATGGCTGAGAACCAGGCTCTCCTGGAACCAACCTAAATCCCACTTCTTGTCTCCTGTAGGAGCTCTGAATGTCTTCCTGCGGCAGAAAGGTCCCGTCCTGACTGATACTTTAGTCTGGAGTCTGACTGGTAACCAAGGAAACCAGTGGCGGCAGGCGAAGGCTGCCCTCCATCCCACCACAGCCTTTCAGGTCTGTCAGGGAGCAGAACGGCCTGCTGGGAAAAAGCAGCCAGATGATTGAGATTTATATTGAGCTGTTTTCCTCCGTCTAACTCCTGGTCTTTGTGCAGGTGGTGATGGAAGGAGTCCGCGGCTCTGGCCCTGAAGGCGCCATCGCTATCGATGACGTTAGCATTAAGGAGGGCGAATGCAAAGACTCTCCACCAAACAGTGAGCTTCCTCTCTCACCCAGGAACATCTGGATCTGCCTTCTGGGCTGAGGGGATCCAGATGTTGACCGGCTCTTTCTCCCTCAGACTCAGGCTGATTAATGGGTCTAGAATGAGCAGATAGAAACACAGATGTAGATCTAGTAATGATAGAGATGCTTGGAGGCTTCCAGTGATTAGAAGGTTTGATTGTTCTAGCGAGTCCTCTCAGTCCACCCCAAAGACCATCGTCGAGACCAGGGGGCCCAGATGGGGTATCCGGAACCCAGGGGTGACCTGAGTGAAGTTGGCCCCCCCACCTTCTTCAAATTAGACAAAATTGGTGTCAAACGTTTGTGCTGGTTTGTGCAGCAAAAATTTTTGTTTGTGCCGCTATCATTTAAAAGATATAAAGAAAGGTTTCTCGAGGTCATCAAAGGTCAACAAGCCCCCCAATCAGACGAAATGGGTGTCAATTAACTCGGCTCCGTTTGTGCTGGTTTGTGCTTTATATCTTTAAAATGGCGCAAACGAAAATTTTTGCTGCACAAACCAGCACAAACGTTTGACACCAATTTTGTCTAATTTGAAGAAGGTGGGGGGGCTGGTTGACCTTTTGACCTTTACATTTTCATTAATATCTTCAAAGCCAAAGCAGCACAAATGACAATTTTTGCTGCACAAACGGAGCTGAGTTAATTGACACCCATTTTGTCTGATTTGAAGAAGGTTGGGGGGCTGGTTGACCTTTGATGACCTCTAGAAACATCTCTTTATATCTTTAAAATGATAGCGGCACAAACAAAAATGTTTGATGCACAAACGTAGAACAAACGTTTGACACTAATTTTGTCTGATTTGAAGAAGGTGGGGGGGCCAACTTCACTCAGGTCCAGGGGGGCCACCAGACACCAAAGCTGCTCACTAGATGAACAATCACTTTGATATGAAATAAAAACAATGAAATAAGTTAAATCATTTTCAAATGTTAGGTATTCCATTTAATTGGAAAAATACATAGTTAAATAACTGAGCATTAAGTAAATAAAATAAGCTATAAAATGAGGAATAAATAATGAAACCTCCATGCAGAGATCTCCACAGCATGTTCCTCCTCTGCCGTGCTCCTGTGAAGCTAACTGATGATTAACCCTCACTGCTGTGTGCTGAAGCTCTTTGATGCAAACAGTTGGTTTCATCAGGACCAACTGAAGGAGAGCCCAGAGAAACTATTCCAACCCTTTAGTTTTCTGACATGTTTCAGATTATTTAGTGGAGAAGCTCCAAACCAACCTGCCTCCATGGACAAAACGGGTTCAAAGGTCACACTTTGCTCCGCTTCCTCGGCAAAACAAAAACCTGATCAGCAGCATGGCGGAGGAATTAAAAATCCCCTAAATATCAAAGACCTGACGCAACCTGTGTGACAGCATGAAGTAGGCTCATAGATCAGCAGAGCAGCCGGATTTAGACTTTTTAGGAAAATCAAAGTTAATGTGCATCAGAGGAAATTCAGATGACTGATCAGCTCAATCCGGAATTTTCTGTTTATTTATTTTTCAATTTGAAAAAACAATCAACAAAAGAAGAAACAACGGATCATTTTCCAATTTCACATCATAGAATAATGTAGAGAAACAGAGAATAGTTTCTCTTTGATAGTTTTCCTTTTTGGTTTAAAAGGATCCCTTCCACATCATCTTGATGAAAAAGTAAAAGAATATTTTTTGTTTGAAGAATTTATTCTTAAAAAGAAAAAACACATCCTATTGTTTGATTGTTGAACTTAATATGTGTTTTTTCAGTCGAGCATAGAGTTGCATCATAGAGATCCTGAATCTTTATCTTCATCTCCTGCCGTATTGATGCAGGCGGCGCTGAAGACTCACCCTGCCGTTCTCTCTCCGTCTCTTTCCTTCCAGATCTGAGGTCCTTTGCTTCACTGCCATCACGCTACACGCTGCTGCTCTGCATCACTCAGAGCCTGGTGCTGATTGGCTGGCCAAGGTGACACCATCAGCGCCTCCTCCTCATCTCAATCATCTCCCAAAGAGGATGCCTTCTGACTAAGGGATCTGTTTTTACCTTCTGATAAAAGAGAAGCAGCTTTGCTAAATAAAACCCAAACCTCCCTGATCTGATCTCCACTGTCTGACCTTCTTCACCCAGTCTGAGTAAAACAATGAAGGCAGTCAGAGCAGAAGCGTTAATCCATGAACCTTTCTGTGGACCTTCTATCCAGCCTGGCTCCGCCCTCAGATCATCACTACTGTCCTGGTTAAACGGGGAGCAGCTCTGAGGAAAACCAAGAAGTATTTTTAGAGTTTATTTTAACGTCTATCCATCTGTGAAAGACAAGAAGCCAACAGCTCACCTTCTGCCATAAAATCAAGTGCCTTCAACTGGTAGGAGACTCCGGAGCAGAGACCGTTTCAGACATTAATCCTGCTGGATTATAATAACCGACAGGGTTTGCTCTTAGTGTGAATCCAACATTTCTCAATTTTTCGTTATTTGTGTCGGGAAATGATCCTAAATGTGACCCTAACCCCACGAAACCAGGCGGCAAACAGTCAGTCGGGATGTGAGGTTGAAGACGAAGAACACTGACGGATGGAGAACCTCCATCGATAAAAACCGATGGACCAATCAATGGAAAGCTGACAGAATTTCTGTTACCTTACGGTCAGGTGGGTCCGAACTTTCATTTACTTTGATGTAACGTCAAGATTTACAGACAAACTGAAGTTTTATTTTCAAGGTAACGTTTTGTTTTTTGTTTCCAGTATCGGTTTAAAATGTTGAATGAATAAAATATTTTATATTGAGGAAAGACTTAAAGAAGCACAAAGACATTATGGACAAAGTTTTAAACAAGATATTTTGGCGTCATGCAGAGCAAAGATGAGAGGATGATGGAAAGAAAGGAAAAGAAGTCTCCACTTATCAGCAGCATAGAGCTGCTAATTGGCTGACCAATCAGGACGCCTTGCTAGGTTCTACTTTGCAGCATAAGATTGTACGATCAAACAAAGCTAACATTACTGAGGCTGAAAGCAGCAAATAGAAAAAGTGCTGCAGAAGCAAAAATGAGACAAACGCATAAAACAGGCGAAGGAAAAGAACGGAAAACGGTAAGGGGAGATGATCAGCGACGTATATGGACCAGACCACAAACTTTACAAAGCATGAATGGCTGCTGCCAGAATCTTAGAGCAACAGAAACGGGATGAAAGAACAGTTTTCCTGTTTAAACATTTAAATCTAAACATCCCGCTAATGGCTGAATCTGACCTCAGCACCAAAAACGTCTTTGTCTCTTTTTGCAGCAGGTTTGGTATTTGCTGTGCATTTATTTCCACTTGTTTGGCCTCTCAGCGTCTCTAGAGGATGAGAGGCGTCAGCAGCTAGCTTAGAGACGCTAATGTTTGTCGCCCATCACTGCAGGAAGGTTTAGAAAGATTTACTCTGATTATTTAACATAGAATATTCTATAAAAAAAAATTCTCTGACAGTTTAACTCAGTGTCAGGGCCTGTAATGTTCAGACTGAACAGCGCCATCTGCAGGCCTCAGTCAGAACAGCAGGAGAATTAATAACTTGGTGATGAATGCAGAAAGCCTCTGAAATGAATCTGTCAACAGGAGGAGAGTTTCTAACGTTGGAATAAAACCTGAAGATCCTGAACTCGCTGGTTTTAAACGTGCAACCTTTTCCGTTTCCCTTCGTCTGCGTTTGACCAACAACCTGATGAAGACCGCAAGCCTTTTTCATGTTTAGACCAATAAAATCCTCCCATGAAAGAATTTTTCTGAAGCAGCAGAACACCAGGTTAGCTGGAACAGAATCATGGCGTCCGGATCAGGTGTGCATGGAAACCGACCCAACAGGGAAAAAAGGGTAAACATTTTAAGCATGATGAAAGAAAATCATTATATTCTTACAGTTTTTAGCTACATTTGCAAACAAACTGGTTATCTGTCTATAAGATCCTCTCCCTATAAACCCGTATTTATTTGGATTAGACTTTATTTTCTTCCACAGAGGCATTAAAAACAGTATCGGGACTGTTTTCCATCTATAGATGTACTTTTTTCCTCTAAGGCTAATTGGTTTGTTCTTTGCTAACAGCTGCTTTCGGTTTGTTAATGAAAAACTTCAATCAAAATCCAATAAATCCTTAATTATTTTTATAATGGACGGCTCAATATAATCTACTTGAACAGTCAGGAGTCTTTCTCTCATGGTGTTTGTAAACAATTTTATTATTATGAAAACAGTTTATAATAATAAAGCATTTTACCCTTAAATGGCTGCTGGTGTGTTTTACAAAGCTTTTATTTGCAGAAACAGAGAAGCTGGATGAAGATTATCGCTCTACCAGGACAGAACCTGCAGGGCTGAAAACTAAACGATGATGCAGAGAATCTGATAGAAGGAAAATATAGAGACTAAGGAGGAGATAAACTCACATGGAGGCGAAATCAAAGAAACACTATAACCAGAGAAAAATTAGAAAAATAACCTGGAAACTAGAAAACAGTAGAAAATACAAAAATAAACTAATCAAGTAAGAATAAAGAATAGAGAATAAAGAAAGGTGTCAAGTAACAAAGTAAAAATACTTTGTTACTTTTCCTAATGCACATTTTTTAGGTATCTTAGGTATATTTTAGGTATACTTTACTCCAGTACTTATTTTTCTTCCTACTTCTAACTTCTACTCATTACATTTTCACACAAGTATCTGTACTTTCTATTCCTTACATTTTTTAAACAAACGTTACTCGTTACTCTTGGCTTCGGTTTAATGTTTATTAATATTTGTTACCCATCATGTGCTCCATCCAATGCAGATCATTGGCTCCATCCACATCTAGTGAAAACTAGTGTCATTGGATGAGTCATAGAACGCAAACACTCATTGGTTAGCTAAAGCAAATCATCAGAAGCAAGCAGGTGTTCTTCAAACTGCAAATGTGAATTGTCTATGCCATGATACAATGTTGGATTCAGAAAAAGATGTTGAAATGTCTGAAAGGTCGGACACAGGCGAGAGCGTATCGGGAGATGGAGACCAACAAGACCTCATCCTTGGCCCTATCTCTAAGTATTGTTAGAAATAGTAAAAAAATTGAGCTTTCATCTGGCTGTTTTTTTTTAAAGTTACTTTTTACTTCAAGTAGTTATTGGGGCACATACTTTTTCACTTTTACTTAAGTAAAGAGGTAAAGTTGATACTTCAACTTTAACCAGAGGGTTTTTAAACTGCAGTATCTATACTTCGACTTAAGTAACAAATGTGTGAACTTTTGACACCACTGTGTATAACAGGATAGAGCCCAGGTCTATTTTGGTTGGAGCTGCGCAGCAATTCAGCAGCAATTTCCTGGGTCTGACAGGAAGAGAGACGTGGATACAAAGTAAAACACATCTGCTTTGGGGGAAATCCAAAATAAAAATCTGTTAATGAGAATGAAAACAGGATTGGAGTCCAGGCAGCCATATAATCACTGACTTTTAACTATCACTAACTCACTGTTAACTAGCACTAGCTGTCACTGTTAACTATCACTTACTCATTGTTAACTATCACTAACTCACTTTAAACTATCAATGACTTGCTGTTAACTGCCACTAACTGTGACTGTTAACTACCACTAACTAACTCACTGCTAACTATCACTAACTCACAGTTAACTATCACTAACTCATTGTTAACTATCACTAACTCACTTTAAACTATCAATGACTTGTTGTTAACTGCCACTAACTGTGACTGTTAACTAGCACTAACTAACTCACTGCTAACTATCACTAACTCACAGTTAACTATCTCTAACTTGCTGTTAACTGCCATGAACTGTGACTGTTAACTATCACTAACTGTTATCTATCACTAACTCACTGTTAACTATCACTAACTAACTAACTGTTATCTATCACTAACTCACTGTTAACGATCACTAACTAACTCACTCTTAACATCACTAACTAACTCCCTGTTAACTATCACTAACTAACTGTTATCTATCACAAACTCACTGTTAACTATCACTAACTAACTCACTGTTATCTATCACTAACTCACTGTTAACTATCACTAACTAACTCACTCTTAACATCACTAACTAACTCCCTGTTAACTATCACTAACTAACTCACTCTTAACATCACTAACTCCCTGTTAACTATCACGAACTAACTCACTGTTTTCTATCACTAACTCACTGTTAACTATCACTAACTAACTCACTCTTAACATCACTAACTAACTCCCTGTTAACTATCACTAACTAACTCACTCTTAACATCACTAACTAACTCCCTGTTAACTATCACTAACTAACTCACTGTTATCTATTACAAACTCACTGTTAACTATCACTAACTAACTCACTGTTATCTATCACTAACTCACTGTTAACTATCACTAACTAACTCACTCTTAACATCACTAACTAACTCCCTGTTAACTATCACTAACTCACTCACTCTTAACGTCACTAACTAACTCCCTGTTAACTATCACAAACTAACTCACTGTTTTCTATCACTAACTCACTGTTAACTATCACTAACTAACTCACTCTTAACATCACTAACTAACTCCCTGTTAACTATCACTAACTAACTCACTCTTAACATCACTAACTAACTCCCTGTTAACTATCACTAACTAACTCACTGTTATCTATCACAAACTCACTGTTAACTATCACTAACTAACTCACTGTTATCTATCACTAACTCACTGTTAACTATCACTAACTAACTCACTCTTAACATCACTAACTAACTCCCTGTTAACTATCACTAACTCACTCACTGTTTTCTATCACTAACTCATCACTCTAATGAACAAAAGGTTATAAATTCAGAAAGTCTCAGAAATGTTTTTCTTTTTTCGGATCTTAAAATCTTTCTAGATCATTTAATCCATTCTGAGAGATTACCGATCGTCTGATGAACATTGATCAGAGCGTCTGCAGCATCTATAAATGACTTTCTGTAGAGAAACAGGAAGAAGCGCTGCTAACACGGATTCTGATGTTTCTCCTTTAGAAATCAGGGGTTCTTCCATAGCTATCCCAGGTACCTCATCTTCCCTCCTGGCGAGCAGACACCCTGGGGGCGGAGCTCTGTTCCTGCAGAGATCTGAGGAATCTCTGCTCTCAGATAACTGGCCTCCTGTCCAGGGAAAAGTTCGTCCATCTTCCCAGTAAAGAATTTCGGGCTGTGGCCGATGAGGATAGACCTGGTTCTTTGCACACATTGAAAGCAGATTCCTAAGCACCTGTTCTGTCTGTGTTCTATAGTATTATTTTCAGACATTCATTATTTTAAAGGTTTCAATAAATTACACATCTCACTGTTTTCAATATAATCAATGTTGAGGAATCAAATGTCTGTTCCTTCATTTCCATCTAGAATCAGACCAACCTGCTGCCTTCTTCTTTCTCT